CTGCCAGGCTGTTTGCTGTGACTCCAGCCCTTGTGAGTCATCTTGCTCAGGGCCCAGCATCTGCCAGCCTACCTGTGTGGCTCTGATCTGCGAGCCCGTCTGTCTTCGCCCTGTCTGCTGCATTCCGAGCCCTTGCGAACCACCTTGTGTCTCCAGCACTTGCCAGGAGCCCTCTTGTTGTGTCTCCAGCACCTGCCAACCTATCTGCTCAGAGTCCAGCCCCTGCTCACCTAGTGTCTGTGTGCCCCGTCCATGCCAACCTTCCTGCTACGTAGTCAAGCGCTGTCGGTCTGTCTGCTGTGAGCCTGTTGCCTGCCCGTCTGTCTCCTGCCAACCTCTCTGCTACCGCCCGGGGTCTTCTGCATCTGCCATCTGCCAACCAATTTGCCCTCGGACTTTCTACATACCCAGCTCCTGCAAACAGCCTTGCACGCCTTCGGTTTCCTACCGCCCCATTTGCCGCCCAATCTACTCTGGACCCCTCACCTACAGGCAGCCGTACATGACGTCCATCTCCTACCGCCCTCCTTGCTACCGCCCCTGTTACTCCATCCTGCGCCGCCCGGCCTGTGTCACTTCTGTCTCCTTCCGCCCCATGTGCTCCCGCCTGTCTTGTACCGACTCCTGTAAACAAGATTGCAGAAAGTCCACTTCCAGCCAACTGGATTGTGGTGACTCCACGCCTTGCACGGTGGAAGTTTCAAAGGCCGGTTCTGCCCAGCCCACTGAGGCCAAACCCACCACATCAACTACCTGTGATGTCAGAGCCAGCCAGCCTGATGCCACCAAGCCTACCAAATGCTGAACGACCTCAGCCCACCAATTCCAGCAAAGCAAACCTCCCACGAGAGATAAAATTGGACCGCCCTCCCCAAAGCTTATCATGACTTAGCTAGAATCTTTTTCTTTCTGCACCATCACTTGCCATCTGTTTATGCTTCAAAGAACTCACCAGGAATGTCAGTATCCTAATGACCCAAAGGAAGACCTCCTGGACACCAAGAGTGGGACATTCTGGGACCCTGTCTGCTGCTGCCATCAAGCTGAGAAGAGCTGCTTCACCACATCATCTGAAATCTCTTTCCTGGCATAAATGTTTTCTGTCCTCATGCATGTGCTCCCCTTGCAGTGTGTGCTTATGTTCCTTGGGAAATGTCTTCAATGAAATAAAAATATTTAACTGTCCAATAAACGTGGCTAGGTTGAAGTGACACACTGTTTTCATTGCTCTCTCATTAATGACATAGTCTCATCAGCTGACTTGCTTCATCTTTGAAAGCAGCCTCATTCATCCATTCATCCATCCAACAAGCTTTTTAGATAGCTGTTAGGTGCCAGGGACTGTGTTAGGCAGTAGGAACGAGAAGACAAAAGCCTCGGTCCCTACTCTCAAAGGAGCTCACTTTCTGGTGGGGAGACAGATAGACAGAGAGACAATTAATTATATTCCATTGTGCTAAGTACTGAACTAGAGGTAAGCGCTCGGCATGGCGAACTCCACAGGGCATGGGGGGAAGCATTCTTGAGGGCTGTGATACTGAAGCCTTATCTTTCAGCAAAAGTGGAAATGAACCAGTTAGAAACTGGGAAGGGAGAGCTTTCCAAGCAGAGGAAACACGTACAGATGAATGGAGCTTGTGAGGACACTGTTCACTAGGTGAAGCTTGGGCAGAGGTGTGCTTAGGAGTGGTGAGCTCTGAGGTCAGATAAGTAGACAGTGACCTGCCCTTGTCAGGCCTTAGATGCTGGACAGAGGCATTTGGCTTTGGTGCAGGGCTGACAGGAAGGCATTTGAGGGGCTGTCTGCAGGGCAGTGATGTGAAGAGCACTGAGTTTTGGAACTACCCTCTGGCCTTGGTGTGGAGAGCTGCATGGAGGAGGAGCATGCTTTTGGATATAGGCAGACTGGAGAGGAAGCCAGGGGCTTTGAGGTCCACAGTGGGATGAAAACGGGTGTGTGGGGGTCATAGTTACAATAAGAGAGGTGACCTGGATTTCCTGTGCAAGAGCTTTGCTTATGTTCTCCTAGTCCCTATAAGACACATTCTTTGTATACACTCCATACATACCCTATTATCATCTCTAAGGATGGAGTCTTCTTCAAAGTGGCCACCGCATACACTTAGTGCACAGAACGAAGGGCTAGCCCTTGTCCTCAAGGTGCAGGTTGGGCTATCCTAAGCACAGGAGAGGGTCGACCAGGGCTTCTCAACTTTGGCGCTATTGACATTTTGGGCTGGATCATTCTTTGTTGTGGGGCCACCTGTGCATTATAGGATGCTAAGCAGCATCCCTGGCTTCTACCCACTAGAAGCCATAGCATCCCTTGATTGTGACAAAAA